TTTTTTTTTTTTTTTGAAGGACATGAGCACTTGAGAAAAATTCTTTTGAAAGATTCATTTTCAAATGCCCTTACGGGACAGTGGGATGATGTGGGGTAGGGATGGATTCCTGATGTGAGATTGCTGAACAGAGGGAGTGGTGAGGACTGGGTTTTCCAGCTCCAGTGGAGTTTTGGGGTCATTTGGGGGCAGTAGACAATATAGAATTGTATAAAGTGAAGGGTTTTTTTTTTTTTCATATGGTTAGTACAAACAGGTCAAGAGGTAGCAAGCAAAAAAAAAATACTGCAAAGAAGATGTGAAAATTTATAGGGTTTGAAGTGTCTGCTCTGTCTTCCTTATCTGTTTTTGGGTGTGGGATGAGCAGGAGGGTTGAGGAAAATTTCAAGCCACAATTAGGGAACCTTGGCAACATTTAATGTGAAAGTTTYAATATTTCACATGATTTTTATTCCCTTTGCAGGACAGGGACTTGGAGAGGCTCCGTAGGAAGTGGCTCTGTGCCTTAACAAAGCGCCAGGAGTACCTGGATCAGCAGCTCCAGAAACTCGTGGGGAAGCCTGGTAAGGAAAATGTCAAAGGCAATAACAGCAAAAGGCTGAGAGATGTGCACCCAGTTTTTAATCTTAATATATTGTCAAATGTAGAAAAAAAATTCATGGAGAGCTGGATCTCTGAACTCAATAATAATTTGSGTTTTTGGGGGGTGGTTAAAATGAAGTTGGAGAGCTGGATCTCTGAATTCAGCAGTAATTTKCTTTTTTGGGGGGTGAAATTAAAGCTGGAGAGTTAAAGATCCAGCTCTCTGAATTTAGCAGTAATTTACTTTTTTTGGTGGGGTGAAATTAAAGGTGGAGAGCTGGATCTCTGAACTCAACATTAATTTGCTTTTTTGGGGGGTGGTTAAAATGAAGTTGGAGAGCTGGATCTCTGAATTTAACAGTAATTTGCTTTTTTGGGGGGTGGTTAAAATGAAGTTGGAGAGCTGGATCTCTGAATTCAGTAATAATTTGCTTTTTTGGGGGAAGTAAAAAAAAAGTTGAAGAGCTGGATCAAAGAACTCAGTAGTAATTTGCTTTTGGGGGGATGAATTAAAGTTGGAGACCTGGATCTCCGAGCTCAGTAATAATTTGCTTTCTTTGCGTGGTGAAATTCAAGTTAGAGAAGCCTTTATGAAATAATTTGATGTTTTGGGGTGCTCCTTTTTATGCTGAAGTGCGAGCAGAGCGGGGTTTGCTCCTCCCTGGTGCTGTCAAATCCCTGACACACCCTAACCAAAAATAAAATCCCTGGCTCCCTGACCAAAATCCCCCTTCCAGATAAATCGGAGGACGACGCCGATCGGGAGGCGCAGCTCCTGGAGATGAGACTGACCCTCACGGAGGAGAGGAACGCTGTGATGGTGCCTTCTGCTGGCAGTGGGATCCCTGGAGCTCCAGCAGAGTGGTAGGAACCCCATTCCCACAGGAGGAATGTTAAAATAACACTCAGCCYCTCCCTGCTTTGGATTTGGGCCGTTATTTGGTTTTTCTCAGCCTGGCCTCTGCACCCCTGCATGAGCAAAGTTGTTCAAATCAGGCCTCCTGCTTCAATTATTTCATGAGTTTRTGTCTCTGAAATGCAGAAATGCTGTTTAGTAAACGCTGCCGTTATTGATCAGAGTGTAATTAGAACCTCCTGCAAAAAGGAATCGATATTTATTACCACTGCCYTCACCATTTCCAAAAATTAGCTCATATGTTAACTACCTACTTCATTCACTTAAAAGGCTGCTCCTTCATCGTAAAACTGCATCTCCTGGAGCATTTTGTTGCTCTCCTGTCTTGAGAACAAACTCTGTGAAGTCAGCAATTGCTCCACATCATTTTCTGAGTGTTAAAAATAAAAAATAGTGGAGAGCACTGGGCTGCAGCAACAGATGCAGAGAAGGAGGCAGGAGTTTTGAGTCCACCTCAAACTTCCTGAATATCTTCACTGAGCAAAGCTCTGACAGCATTTATTGATGGAACTGAGTGTTGTSGAGTTTGAAGCTGAAGTTTGTTAAAGTTGGTGCTTCTAAAATGTAAAAAAATAGCAAATGTTTGTTGGAAACACATCAACTTTCACATCAAAATGTTTCATTAGGTTGGAAAACAGTGGGGCTGCAGGAAATTTGCTCCAGAAAGAATCTGGTTCTGCACATTTGCACCAGAAGAAATGTTCAGTGTGATTCAAGCCCTTCATATATTACATAAGACTCCAGCCTGCTCTTGTTCACTACAAATTCATCACTTTTGGCTCTTAAATATGTATTTTGTGAGAAAGAGTAATAACTGTGTGGAGTGGCAACATCAGTGTTAATTTTAAAGCTTTGAGGCTGTTTTTTTCTGATTCCCTCTTCCCCATTTTCCCTCCCATCATTAATTCAGAGGGGTTTGCATTTCAGGAATGTGTGTGTCAGAGTAAATAAACTTAATTTTTGCTATCAGCATTAAAGAGGGAGAAAACATTTCAGAAAGCAGAGGTCAAAGCAGATAATGATTCTAAGAGAACTGGCATAAAAGAAATACTAATTTATCCAAGTCTCTCAGAATCTGCAGCAGTAAATTAAAATAAAGAGGTTTGCCAAGGTTATCAATAGTCTGGCTCATAACTGCAGCCTGAATTCGATGTTCTGGGGGGGTTGGATCATCAGGGACGTGTGCTGGGTGAATCTCTGTTATTTTAAATGCTGCCATTGTCTCTGTCTTGTATTTTAGGACTCCTGTGGCTGGGATGGAAACTCACATTCCTGTTATATTCCTTGACTTGAATGGTAAGTGGATGACAGAGTACTTTGGAACAAACTTTATCCAGCCAGTGACGTTCTAGAATTGAAGCAAGCTCATAAAATTAAGAAATGCCTGGAATAGCAGGTGGATTAATTGGAGAAGTGCCCGTTTTGCCTGAAACACATGGCTTCATGTTTCAAAATCACGGTGTTATTTATGGAAGGTTTTAATAATCCCATGTTTCAGTACATCCCAGTGCAAAATCCAGCCTGAAAAAATGTGTTTGTCACGTGCTSCTGGCAAAAATGGGAAATATGAACCAGGAAAGGGGCATGTTTGCCACGGGGGGAGAGTACTGCCTGTTTTAGGCACCCCTCAATCTGTGCCTGCAACTCTTTGTGCACATTTTCTGTATAGAAATGGGAATTTTTCTGGAAGTGGAACAATTCAGGAGCTTTTAACTTGGAGGTGAAGTCTAAGCAGCCAAGCTGGGGAGCTGGGGATGAAAATGTGAATTCACGGCTTGCTGATGTTCGTTAAAAGGGGTGATTGCTTTATGTTTCCTCATCTTCCACGTCCCCTCCTGTTTGCAGCTGATGATTTCAGCTCCCAGGATAACCTGGATGACCCAGAGGCAGGAGGCTGGGATGCCACTCTGGTGGCTGAGGAGGAGGAGGAGTTCTTCGAGCTGCAGATTGTGAAGCATCAYGAYAGCGAGGTGGGAGAAGCTGCACACYGGGGAATTGAATCTTTTAATTRCTCTCTTTGTATATCTACGTGTGAAAATAATACATGAAAAGTGTCATGGAAATCCTACAGCACTTGGTTCTGCTGGGAGCAACTGTGTTGTCAAGGAATATTCACCAGGAGTGATGCCATGATTTGGGAAAGAGTAAAACTCGAGGATCTTCCTCCATCCAAATCCACGCATTCCAAATTGGGAATTCAGGTTGTGTTCAACAAAGCAAAACCCSTGAGCAAATTAAGAGTACAAAATACCCAGCTGAAAAATCACACAGTCTTAATTGTTAACATTTTTACCTCTGTGTTGTTACACTTGTTATCCTCCGTTTTGCCTCATAACTCACAATTTTACAATTTCACAATTTTTTGTTTGTAATTTCTACAGTTAGGTTTAGAACCTCTGACTTGCCTTATTCCTTAAAATGTTGCTCCTTTCTCTGAAATTTATTTCTTCTTCTGTTTTTAGAGAAGCTTTCATGATAGTCTGTTAGGGTTTTCTTTTTCCTGATTTGTTTTTAAAACCTGAAAATTTGGCTACCAGGCCAGTTTTCTTATGGCTTGAAGATGAACCGTTTAAATCTTCAGTGATACCTATATTTTAAGAATGCAAGAATGAAAATTCCAGCTTTTGTATTGCTAAAAATGCTTCATCAAGTTATTTCTCAAATACAAACAGGAGAATTTTTGTGGTGTGATGGAAGATTTCCACTGCAATCTCAGTTGCTCTCTGGTTTATCTTAATAAATTAGTCCAAATGGTCCTGCACTTGTGCATAATTTATAATTTATTTGCAATGATCCTGGGTATTCAAAGCTCTTTTTTCAAGAGGAAATGTTCCAGAGTTTGAGCAAGTTGGCATTTTTAATCCCAACATCTTCATTTGGCGAACTGATCTTGATTTTTAAATGGCCTCTTCTAAAGTGCGGGGCTTTTTCCCTCACGGGGAGTGAAACGGAGAAACCGACTCTCAGAATTTATGTATTATGTATTTTTGCTAATTATGCTTAATTAATTGCAGTTAATTATACACCTAATTATGCTTATTAGAGGATACATTTATATTTTTTTTYYKGKTTTTTTTTTGCAGGTGAAAGCAGAAGCCTCGTGGGACTCCACGGTCCACGACTGCATCCAGCTCAGCAAGGGCACGGCGGCGGAGGAGAGGGTTTACCTGATTGTCAGAGCCACGGTCCAGCTCAGCCACCCYGCAGAGATGCAGCTGGTGCTGCGCAAGCGCATCTGTGTCAACGTCTATGGCAGGCAGGTAAGGTTCTGGCAGCCCTTCCCACTCCCCAGGACTCAAATTTCCTCGGATTTCTGTGTCCATCATCCCATCTCAGCCTGGATGGAAGCGCCAGATCGGCGGTGTCTTGTCTGGCCTGTGAGCTGCCAGGTGGCTTTCCTGGTATCCCTTATGTTGTGGATGATGGCACGGTTTGGGTTTTAAGGCTCTGTGGTAGCTAAATGTGAGAAATTAATTTTTCTCTTAGGTCAAAAACTTAAAAAACTTTACGTCTTTTCTCACTGGGAAGAGTGTAATGATGAGAAACAACATGGACCCCCCCCCCAGGCAGGTGGAAAGAGGGATCAATTTATTGCAAAAACCAGGGGTTTTAACCCTTAGCTTGTTATGAGTTTGCATTCTTGTGAAGCACAATGAAGTGTCGGAGCCAGCCACCATAAATCACACCAGGAACATGCCATGGTCAGAACCAACCACTGTAAATCACAGCAGGAACATGTGATGGTCAGAACCAACCACCGTAAATCACACCAGGAACATGCCATGGTTGGAATCAACCACTGTAGATCACACCAGGAACACACAATGGGACCAACCACCATAAATCACATCAGGAACATGCCATAGTCAGAACCAACCACCATAAACCGCACCAGGAACACACAATGGTTGGAATCAACCACCATAAATCACACCAGGAACACGCCACCATAAATCACACCCGGAACACGCCATGGTCAGAACCAACCACCATAAACCGCACCAGGAACACACAATGGTTGGAATCAACCACCATAAATCACACCAGGAACACGCCACCATAAATCACACCCGGAACACGCCATGGTCAGAACTAACCACGATACACCACGGTGTGAGCTCTCCCTGACCCTGTCACTTCTTTTCCAGGCTTATGGAATTTGGTTTTCACCTCCAAGTTTAGCTGAGTCATTCCCAGAAACCCTCTCTGGCCAGCTGAAGTAACAGGAGAGAGCAAGAGTTTTACAAGGGTRACAAGGCCCTTGCTGTATAAGGTTTTACTTAACCCCTATATGAAGAGATAATTTCTCRCGAGCTCGGAGTTTCTATTTTGCACGAAGGAACTTCTCTGTTGTCCTAGTCCTGTCTGAAGCTTACAAATTGCTGCTACAACCAYTTCTATTTACACCTGCAGGTATTTAGAAATCAGCCAGGAATAGTTGGAGGAGAGATCCCTCATGTTAATTTATCAGAGTTGATCACTCTTGGTCCTTTATGTTTTCCACTTGGTGCTGTTACAGTAACACATAGGTGAGAGAGATGCCTTACCCAGCTTACCTAGAACAAAGGCTGGACAGAATTCAGAGAACAAAAACCAGGTGTATTTATTGCAGGGCAGTGATATTTATTGAATATTTTACATTCAGGGCAGTCCCAGCCCACTCAGGAGCTGCACCCACAATGCACAATGGCTCAGGGGTTTTTCACCCTTTCTCACTTTTGTCCATTTGCACAAAATCGGGGCTGAATCCTCCAATTGCAGCTCAGCCAATGCAGTCATTGACTCCAAGTTGGCTCCCCCARTTCTCTGTTGTTTCCATCTCTTGGGGCCTGGCACAGTGAGGTGTCCTTGAGTTTGGGGCTGGAGAGGAATTGTTTTGTGTAAAAATGGGAGAGCAGGAGCTCAGCACTGTCAGTGGAGTCTGGAGTTAAACACTAAAGAATTTCAGGATTACAGAGACATGAAAATACAGAAACTAAAATCCTAAGGCATCGAGAACAGGATGTTTGATCAATGGAAAGCAGGGAGGTCACTCCATTTGCAGCATCACGCCCTGAAAATAATACAAATCCTGAGAAAGATGGGAGAGGAAGGAGTTTGCTCAGTACTCTCTCAGAATCCAACCTCTCCTGGCAGGGATAATGACAAAGCAGAAAGCCTGGATTGTTATTCTGGTTGCACRTCTGTAGTTAAAATCTGAGAAGAGCAAAGGTCACACCCAGAAACCCTGGTGGCAGCTCCCAGGGCTGGGAACAGAACCCCAATTCTTGGTGCTGCCATCAGGCAGGAGAAAAACTGAATTTTTTGTCACATGGAGTGGGAGACCGTATTGGACAGATAAATTGAACGTGCCAATAATCGCCATCGCGTGAAGCCTTCATCAATTCTGTTCTCTACAAATTCACTCAACGCTGGTTTTTACTTCCATTCGACGCAGAATCTTTGCCTTTGCTGCTGTTTTTCTGCAAACCCCCGTCAATAACCTTTGCTGGGAGTTTGTCTCAGCAGCATCTTGGAATGACTCATCCCTGCATTAATTCAACAGGCCAGTTCTTAACCCTGCGAGGCGCCGAGTCAGCATCAACAATGACCATGCCCCTTAAATCATTCTTCATAACGATCTCTTTGGTCAAGAATTTAATGTCTGTGCTTGTCAATATTCGAGACAAGTCACCTAGGGCTCTGTCAGGAGAAAAAAAAAACCTCCACCTCTAAAAGCAGCTGATGCTTGGGGAAACAGTCACCTTGCAAGGAAGAAAGTGAATCTTTCTCTGTATCTACAATACAGGCAAGCAAATGATTTTCACCAAGCGAAAATCTTTGCCTCTTACATATTTATTGGTTAGACTTCTGCATTTGCGCTTCTTTCATTGTGAAGTGTATTTATTTCAGGTGGAATCTGTTAACCCTCATTTTCCTGGCATTTATTTCAGTTGGAATATCTTAATCCATGTTTTCCATGTGTTTATTTCAGTTGGAATCTGTTAACCCACGTTTTCCATATGTTTATTTTATTTGGACTCTGTTAATCCACATTTTCCACATTTTCCTGCTGTTTGCTTCAGTTGGAATCTGTTGACCCACATTTTCCATGTTTTCTATGTGTTTCTTTCAGTTGGAATCTGTTAACTCACATTTCCCATGTTTATTTCAGCTGGAATCTGCTAACCCACATTTTCCTGGTGTTTATTTCAGTTGGAATCTCTTATTCTATATTTTCCTGGTGTTTATTTCAGTTGGAATCTGTTAACCCACATTTCCCATGTGTTTATTTCAATTGGAATCTGTTGACCCTCGTGTTCCTGGTGTTTGCTTCAGTTGGAATCTGTTAACCCACATTTTTCTGCAATCTCTTATTCCACATTTCCAGGTGTTTATTTCAGTTGGTACCTCTTATTCCACATTTTCCTGATGTTTATTTCAGTTGGAATCTATTAACCCACATTTTCCATGTGTTTATTTCAATCAGAATCTGTTAACCCACATTTTCCTGGTGCTTATTTCAGTTGGAATCTGCAGTCTGCTCACCCTCATTTTCCTGGTGTTTATTTCAGTTGGAATCTGTTAATCCATGTTTTCCTGGTGTTTATTTCAGTTGGAATCTGTTAACCCACATTTCCCATGTGTTCATTTCAGCTGGAATCTGCTAACCCACATTTTCCAGGTGTTTATTTCAGTTGGAATCTTTTATTCTATATTTTCCTTGTGTTTATTTCAGTTGGAATGTCTTATTCCACGTTTTCCTGGTGTTTATTTCAGTTGGAATCTCTTATTCTATATTTTCTTGGTGTTTATTTCAGTTGAAATCCGCTCACCCCCGTTTTCCCGGTGTTTCCTCCCCGCAGGGTTTCGCACAGAGTTTCCTCCGAAGGATGTCCCCCCGAAGCTCCATCCCCGGCTGTGGCGTCACTTTTGAGATCGTCTCCAACATTCCAGAGGTGAATAAGAACTCAGAGGGTCTCCAATCTGCCAAGAGCCCCCAATTTTGTGCTTTCCCCCTCGATTTGAGCCTGCTGGCTCTTGGTGCTGCCAGGACAAACTGGGGTTTGTAAAAGATGGGGAATATTCCTGTACTTGCTGTGACTGAGCAGCAACCTCTGCCTTATCAGTGCTGCTGTGTTTTGTTGAGTGAGATTCTGTTTGCTCAGGTCCTTGAAGAGGCAGTTTAGAGAGAGAGAGGGGAGAAAAAGAGGGAGGAAAACCGAGCAGGTGAAGTGCCTGCTGCAGGGAGCAGGAGAATCTGAGGAAAAAATAACAAAGTGGCTTTTTCTCAGTAATGTCTTTATGCAACTCTTGTTTCCTGAACATGTTCCTGGTCAGATGCAAATCCTTTTTTTTTCCTAAGAGCTGCTCTGTCAGAGCACTTGTGGCAACATTAACACATGAAGAGCCAAAGCTCTGATTGCTGCTTGCCTCTTTTATGTTCCGCTGCATTTCGCACTTCGTGTTGCAAATGCTGAAAATGCTTCTCCAGCGATGTTCTGGTTGTTTTTTTTTTTTCTTGTGGCTCACTTGAAATTTTGTTTTCCTCTCAGGTTAGATAATGCCCCAAATGCGCTCGAGCACTTTTTAATTATGAAATATCTGAATGCAGCCCTTTTGCTAATTAATGGTGACATCTCGCTGTGAGACTCTCAGGAAGAGCCCAAAAAGCCTCCAAACAATAACCACGAGATGTCTGTGCCAGTGACAGGACCACCCGTGCAGGTTGCATGGCACAARGTGTTCATTTGGATCAGAATCTTAGATTAGGTGTTAGGAAGAAATTTAGAATAAATATTGGGATAAAGTCCTTTGCTCTGAGGATGGTGAGGCTGTGAGGTTGTGCCTCACTGAAACCTGGAAGTGTCCAAGGCTAAGTTGGACAGGGCTTGGAGCAACCTGGGATAGTGGAAGGTGTCACTTCCCCTGGCAGGGGGTGGAATGGGATCAATTTTAAGGTCCCTTCCACTCCAGACCATCCCATGATTTTCATGATTCTGATCTGTCCCTGTGCTTAAGGACAAGCAGTGTTGAACCAGTGCCGCGTGGTTCAAAAAATACGATTTCTCCAGGAGCGATGTTGAAGATTTTGGGTTTATTTTCAAAGGCTGCCCCCTCTTTTCGTGTCCCCAGGATGCTCAGGGGGCTGAGGAGCGGGAGGCACTGGCCAGGATGGCAGCAAACGTGGAGGATGCAGCTTCAGCTGACTCAGAAGCCTACATTGAGAAATACCTGCGGAGCGTCCTGGCCGTGGAGAACATCCTCACCCTGGACCGCCTGCGCCAGGTCCGGCCCTGAAAGCAGTGGGACAATCCAAACATCCCCCTGAGTGCACACAAACAACCCCAAAAACCCCTCCAGTGCACTCCAAAGCGAGCCTGTGACAGAGATCCAGGGGAGCAGAGATGTCGTTGCCCATCTCCCAGCACGAATGGGGCTCGGAGCTCTGCTCAGGGCACAGCTCTGGGATGCTTGGTTGGGTTTTAAGGCTGGGAATTGCTCATTCTGGTTCAGAAAAAGGAGTTGTGTGGCATTTTCTTCTGCTTTCTGAACCTTCAGCAATAGTTTCTGCACATGCCAGTAAAATTTTTGTCGTTTCGCCCACGTTCTACTTAGAATTAACCAAAGCTATCCTGCCAATGAAAAAAAAAAAGACATTGATTGAGTTAATTTTAAGCGCTACAATTTGATCTGTTTACCAGGAAAAATACAGGGGAGAAAAACATTTATTGAAAATTGTTCTGCTGGATATAAATTATGCAAGCACAACCAGAAAAGTTATGCAAAACAAGCTGGGGCTTGTGCCTGCCCACTATAAATTCACAGTGAAGTGCRATGCACTTTCAATGTTGAAAGCAAGTTCCTTGTCATTTGTAATTCGTTTAAAGGATTAAAAGAGGAGCTCAGCTCGGAAAGAGAGTCTTAGTCTTTGCATCTCTGTCATCTCCTCGAATCAGGAGTAGCTGTAAAATCCTCTGTGTGCCAATCAGCAAAATACCAGATGGTAAAATTTATCCACTCGTGAGTTTGGCCGTGTAAACTTCACAGACAGCCACAAGGCAGCTCAGAAACATTTCAGTTGTAGAGACAAAACCATCCTGGGATGATCAGGGCTTTAATTCTTGCCAAATAAACTTATTTTCTTTGGTTTTCTTTCATGTGACTGGCAGGAAGTTGCTGTCAAGGAGCAGCTGATGGGAAAAGGAAAACTCTACCGCAGGAGCCTGAGCTCCCCCAACGTGAACCGGGTGAGTTTTCCCTGCGGGCATCTCCAACAGCTCCACTCTTCATTCACACGTCCTCAAGTCATGGAATTTTGCACTGAATTTTCCTCTTTTTGTCTCCCCTGTGCTCTTTTTTTTTTTCCTGGAAATAATTAATTTACTTTCCAAATTGAAGACTTTTTTTTCTCCTTTTCTTCAAAAGATTTGAAAGCAAATATTTGCTGAACTTAAACTTTTTACCAGAGTTGTACATAAGAAAAATGAGGTTTCTGCTACCCAAAATTTGGACAGAAATCATTTGATAAAACTGGTAATCAAACTAGAATCAAATTATGGCTCCTCATGGGTCAAAAATTAAAATTTCACCTTTCCTCGATTTTGATTCTGCTTTAACCACCAAATGTTTCTTTTCAACCTTATTAGTCAAGAGGCAAGGTTATGAATATTTTGAGTTCTTGTTAAGAAGTAATTCTGCTTCTTTGGACTCTTCCAGCTTTCTGCAAGCCGCCAGGATTTAGCCCCCCCTTACAACCTGAGCAGTAACAGGGTGAGTATCTGCAGATTTCCTGGGAAAACCTGGACAGGAAAAAAGGAAGTGATTCTTCTCTCCCAGTGACAGGAGCGTGAATGGGAAATTTCTGTAAAAAAACAGGGCTTCCATGTACTCCTGGGACAGAAATGGCTTTGGATGGGCAGCTCTGGACCTTTTTCAGGAAATTCCCAGATTTTCCTCATCCCAACCCTTGTGGGGTTCTCAGGATTGTGCAGCTGCAGAGCTCTCCCAAAGCTTTCACCTGGCTGGATGGAGAAATTCTGGGAGAAAGGGAGAGATTTGTGTCCCTCTGTCRGTTAAATCCTCCTCTAGGATGGAACAGAGGCTTGTGGGGAAAGTTCTCAACCTTCCAGTGGCCCTAAA